GTAAGCACAAAATCTCAAAGCCGACTTTTTGCACAGAACACTGCCTCTAAAATCCCGCACTGAAGACGTGCCTATAAAGCACGCTTTTTCCATCTTTTCTTCCAAGCGCTACTCCGAAAATCTATTCAAGAAAGTGTGACTTTCCATTGTTGCGCTATCATTGTTCGACTTGTTTAACCCTTTTCAAGGTTTGACTAGTTTGTGTTGGAGTCGAAGGCACCGTGCGCTAGAACTAAAGGTCAAACATAGTCTCTCATTTATTTAAGAATTCGGTCATATTATATGTACACTTAAGCTAAATGAGCTTTCAATCATAATATGGTGCAGCATTTCTTTTTTTCTTCGTCGGTGATCTTCGCTGATATTTCAGAATCCACTTTCGTCTTGTTAGGAGCGGGACTAGGTGACTTTGACGCATTTTTGGTACCAGCTTTTTTAACCTAAACTTGTTGTTGGCAAAATGAAGGACGCTCTCGACCAAATCTTACTTCTTCTACTATATCTTCAACGGACGGCCACTGCGTACTTTCATCCTCGACATATTTATATAAAATCGTTCCGGATCGATTGACTAGTATTGCACCGCCCTAGAATTTACTCGTGAAAAATTTGAAACATAAGCGTGCTAGTACCTTATGCGTGACAAACGACGTTTGTTCAGTGTTAGTCTCCGAAATTTTCTTCTCGTCCGACAAGTTCACATCATCGGCTAGTGTTTTCTCTACCATCTAAACAGAGGTGATGCGTGATTTCAGTGCAAATTCGGAATTCAAGCAGAACCTGAAGAAGCGCACTCCAACCAGCCAGCTGCATCGCAGATCTCCGTTGTGTCTTGAGTTCGTTTAACGCTTCCTGTTCATCATAGAGCTTCCGAAATGGTACACCAACCAGTTTAATATAGGATCCTCCTGAAATCAGTATGTCATGAACAAAACATTTGCTTCTAGATCCAGTTTCAATACAATCAAATTCGCAACATTTGTATAATCTTATCGCGGATCTTGTATACTGCAAAGATTCGAAAAGTGCAAAGCTACGGAGAGTGTCTAAACCTAAGACTGACTCTGCAATTTGTAACTTCTTGATTTTGTTCTTTACATGCCGTGTTTGATGGTTGTTTCTGTTGTCTCCTCATCAAACATTCAAATTTACGATGTTTACTTCTTTCAAATGCTCCTTTGGCGCGAACTCTATCAAGATTGAGCAAGCTGGAGTTTTCAAAATGAGGAATTACGAGAGTTCCTCCTTAAAAATCCACTATACAATTACTAATCGTGAACAGGGGCGGATCGAATGTTGTGTTTTCGCCAACCAAGCAAAAACCCAAAACAATATTACAATAGTTTAGCGTTGATTTCCATGAAAAATCATGGCCTCTGAGAAATAGAGAGCGATAAATTCTTATTTTGAGCAGTTTTCCGAAGAAATAAAATTTGATCAAGACTCCCCACAGCGAATTGAAACGAACACCTTAATACGATATTTTAGCTGCGATCAGCTGTTCATTGATCTTTGTTAACCGTATGCGCCGAAACTGTGTAGTTTCGCGCACTTTCGCGGGCAGTATCATGTCACATTACGTGTGTAAGTTAGTCACGAGCAACTTACGGGATTTCTCGTGGATCTCATAGTTTATTTCCGTAAGATCATTTTAAAACAGATCTGCTATTACAGAATTCAGGTGAGATCAGCGTGGCACCTGCCGTGAAGCTCACCTGTAGGGTCACTAAGCATTTTGTGGCATGCGGGAATGGCCGCTTTTGACTTCATCTTACGAACGTAAAATGATCACTTGAACTGACCGAGTTTCAATACGGGGCTAGACTTGGTTGGTGTACCTTCCTACTCACTGAATTTGTACGGTTATTTTTGCGCGGTTAGTTTTGAAAGGCTAGGTGTGCGACACTTTATACTTTTCTAAAGTGCGTGCTTCAGAAGGCGTGATAGCAAGCTGGGTGTCAATGAATTGTCCACCACAGCAAGTGCACTGCTCATCATTTATGGCCTGTGTGAGACCCAGATGATGACAACATGTCTGCGACAGCCTAGGTGCCCATACTTAAAGCGTTTTAGAAACTTCTGGAGACGATGGATTAAGAAACAACAGGTTGTAAATATGGATTGTCGAGTGATGGAACAGAAAACTTTCTCTCACAGCAAATGATGCATTAAGGGCCGGGCATACCGCTCAGCGATCAATCGTCGCGA